TTTCCTCCAGGGCCCCCCCCCCGGAGCCGCGCTCCCCTGCCAACGGCGACTACCGCGACAGTGGGATGGTCCTCGTGAACCCCTTCTGTCAAGAAACACTATTTGTAGGACATGAGCAAGTCTCTGAAATCTGACCCTGCAGCTGCCCCTCATATCGCAATTTCATCTCTACTGTCTTCAAATTATAAATAAATATATATATTATAAATATAACCTTTGTGTAACCCTGAATTACAAGAAATGTTTTCAGCTTTTCTTTCCTCCCTCAGAATTGTCAGGCCCCTTTTTTATAAGTGTGGTAAAACTTTACAGAACAAACTGTGGCTTTATAAAATAAAGGTATTTCTAAGCAAAAACACCTGTCAGTTGTACTGTTTTCTCCACTGTCATTTACAAGCCACTGCTAAATATACTTGACTGGGAAGAATGTTGGGTAAGGCTGGTTTCAGTGCAGGCAGCATGAGTTGGGGGCAGCATCCTGCATCCTACAGGACATTGCTCAGCCTGGCCACAAGTGTTGCTGCATGGAGAGCATCCCTTCTCCTGCTAAAAAATGATTTTGGTTGCTCCTTTTCCTTTTGGACTCTGACCAAGCTAAAGTACAAACCTGATGGGACTAGAAGCAGTCCGTGTGCCAGTCTTGTATCCTTGGCACGACTCCAGCGCTGCCTGAGCACTGATAAGCTGGAATGAGCCGCTCAGAGTCCTCCTTCCAGTAGAAACCAGCCAGGGTCTGCCAGTTGAATGCTGTGGCTTTGACAACGTTTCCCATTCCCTGCTGTTGTATTTAGATCGCTAGTGCTGTTGAATCGTATTTCCTCGTGCCCCACCCCTACTCTCCGTGAGACTTTTCTTCCTCCCTTAGGAACAAAACCATGGTGTTTGAGAGCAAAATGGTATTTCAGTCCTACTCAGTTATGTGCTAGGTTGCTGGCTGTAATGGTGTTAGGGGAATAATAGGGGTCAGCAAAGCTTAAATGTTGGATTAAAAATGGGTTATTACAACAAGAGGCTAACATGGAACATGGAATGACTTTGCCTAAATCAATGCACTCTCTCTGAGTAACCCGGAACTGTTATCGTGAGACTGATTTTCAGTTTTGCTTCTCATATTGCTTTTTTTTCCTATCATTTGGCAGGTGAAGTGGCCTCCATCCTTTGAGGTCTTGACTGTCCTCTCCCCCACCTCTGCCCATCAGTCCTTGTAGATGATTTT